CTGCCATGACTCCTGTTTTTGCCTTCTTCTTGTTTTTTATCGCATGAAAACACTCAAAAGCTATAAAAACGTTGTCCATAATATTTCTCTTTGGGACAAAAGCACTCTGATTTTCACCCACCACTTTAGGGAGAATACTTTTCAACCTGTTTTCCAGGACCTTTGCCATAATCTTGTACAAGACTTGGCAAAGGCTGATAGGACGAAATTCTGAGGGTTTCTCTGGCTTCTTAGTCTTAGGGATAAGAGCAATCAAAGTGTAGTTTAGTTGTTCTGGAAAACTCCCTATCTCTAGGTAGTTTGTCAAAGCCCTCGTTACCTCAGGACCTACCACTGCCCAATTACGTTGGAAGAAAAGCGCTGGCATGTCATCTGGTCCTGGAGCCTTTGTTGGCCCCGTCAACTTTAACGCTTCCCATATCTCCTCTCCCGTGAAAGGCCTTAACAGGTCTTGATTCATCAACGGTGTAACCCTCTGGTCTACTGCCGAAAGAATCTGACTTGTAGTGGGCAGTTCCCCCGACTCAAATAATTCCTTGTAATAGTCCACCAAACAAGTTTCCACCCCTTCCTGACCACTCCAAACTCTCCCTGAATCATCCGAGAGCCTCTTTATGGTGTTTCTTTTCCTCCTTTCTGAAGCCTTCCTATGAAAGAAACCGGTGTTGTTGTCTCCATTTTTCATTCATAAAACAAATTCCCTTCGGTTTAATAAACTGGTATTTTAGACCGTGGTTTTACCGGACCAAACCGTGGATCCAGCCGACTTATCAATACGTGTTAGCAGCCCGCTCGATCAGTCTCCCAACTCCCACAATGATATTGATACCCAAGTCTTAATCTAAATTTTGAGAATCTAGTCCCCTCCTTCATTCACAACCACATTTCACCAGAGAGTAGAGACGATATTGTCTCCATATGACAATATGTACATGTTTATGACGTTATAGTGCAAGTATGGATGCTTTGACTCTATATCTTTATTACTTATTGAGATTTATGGTGTTAAAATTATTCATACATGTAGGAAACTATATTTTAACGCATAAAAAAAAATCTTGGCTATTGCTTCAATCTTTTGTGTGGTTTACTAATCAAATTGTTCATGTTTTGTTCAGTGTGATCTATCTGGTCCAGACCGTACCGAACCAGACTGCATAGGGCAGACTGCACCGGTCCCAACCCTAGATAATACATTATAGTAAATGGCCATATTATACCTATACGGGTCGTTTGCTTCATGGATTTGAAAAATGAGGGTTTTGGTAAAACTTGGGTTTTGGAAAACCATGGATATATGATGGATTTGGTGGCATTATGGATTTAACCAAGTCTATTGTTTGCTTGTTGGATTTGATTATAGATTTTGTTTGAATAAATTTGTGGATATGAAATTCAAATTACCTTGTTACCCTTATCTTATCTAATTATATTTCTATATTATAATCCATAAATTTCATTAAAAAAATCCAACGCATACAATAAAATTTTAAACTCTTTACCACTATGTGGACTAATAATTCAACTACAAATATAGAAATGTATTATAGTTTGGCACTAATTAACAACTCATCTAATAATGTACGCAATATTATGTATCAATTGCAACCAATTGCTCGCTTTATTGCTACAACTCGTCAACTTCTTGCTAACTCCCCGATTTTGGAATCCGACAATCAATCAAATAATAATGCACAAGACGAGCATAAGATGTTTATAGTTGAATCTAACAAATCACATATACATTCATATTTAAATAAACTATGTTATTACAAAACGAAATGAAAAATTCTCATATATATAAAATACGACATTATAAAAGTTTATAATTGCATGACCATTGAATTAAAGTAGGACAACTTTGTAATTAAAGTAATAAGTAAGGGTAGAAAGGTAATTTACCATCATGGATTTTAATCCATCACCCAAATCCCACCTCAAGAGGTGGAACTTCCAAGTCCGTGGGGTCCACGGATTTGGAACCCCAAAAGTGGCGGGACCCACAAATTCCATCTCCCTAATTCCCTAAGGCAAACGATGGATTTCCGTTAAAGTCCATGATGGATAGAATTCCATGACCAAATCCATGACCAAAACCCTCAAGCAAACGACCCGATAACCTTTTATTTTTATTTTGGTCATGAGGATCCCAATGACGAGATGCCAAGTTATCCATTCAAAAGCGACGATGATAGTGAACAATATTTGGGACCTGTGAGTGAGGAAGAGGATACGAATGATGAGGTAGGGGTCTAGGAGGCACCTACTCCGTACTACACAAATATCTCCCTATGCCAGGTGAAATTCGACGACCGAATTGGAGGTGGGAATGACATTTCCCACGAAGGATGTTGTTGGTGATGCTTTTAGAGAAGAAATCACGCAGTGAAATTTTGAGTTGAAGGTCAAATATTCTGATAAAAATCAAATCCATATTATATGCAAAAATGCCGGAGACGGATTTCAGTGGGAGATTCGAGCTGCATGGATGTGACCAAATATTTAAACCGCATAAAACTTGATTTACTTGATCCATTAGTTATGAATGGAACTTGTATGACTTTGTTCAGAAATGCATGCTTATGACAGATTGAATTTTCAATGCTTGTTGGCGAATTTTGAAACTTTGGTTCACTACTCGCAAAAGTGCCTTCATACACTTGTTGAATCCAATTTTTTTTAGTCTCATACAAACTTAAACAAAAAAAACCTCATCCACATAATACCCATTTTATCAAACTGAACAATTTTCAGCTTTCATCCTCCACCATTTCCCCCAATTTCTAGGGTTTCTAAAACTCGAATTCTACTTCATCAAACTGACATAACTCTCCCACCAGCAACTTGAAATAACTCTGGTGCTCATGGGTTCGCAATGCCATCAAAGCATACAAATTTATCACGGGTACAAAACCTAGCAACAGAAGCACCAAAAGTCAAAGGCACGAGGTGTAAGATTACAACACAAATGAATCCAACTTAAACAAATAAGAAACTATGCATCATTACTCATATAAGTCCATCACCAATGCGTGTTTTCAGATCATGTTCGGAATCCGACACTTTCTATGCAAGATTACAATTCATGAAATTTACATACTAATCAAGTATGTAATGGCTCCTCTCATCTTGCATATCCTTTTTCTTAGAGGTGGCAATTGGATCGGATTCGTGGATTGGATTGGTGAATCAATGGATCAAATGAATTGGATCCAATGGATTGGTGGATTCATGGATTGGATCAAATAGATTGGTGGATTGATCCATGAATCCAAATGACATCCAAGGCTTGAACCAAAATGTAAATTTTGAAAAGTTTAGATACTAAAATATCATAATGAAAAATTTTAGATACCAAAATGTATTTTTTCAATAATATTTTTCGTATAAAAATATAAATTTTAGGTACCAAAATGTAAAATATAAAAAATATAAGTACAAAATCATAATTTGCCATTTGGATCCATGGATTGATCCATAAATCCACCAATCCAATTGGATTTGGATCAAATGGATTAGATTTAAATGGATTGGATTAAGTGGATAATATGGTGGATGGATTGGATTCATGGATTATGAACATAATTGCTCAATAAGGAAAATCATGTGTCATATATATATATAATACTCGGTTATGACTATTTGAATTCCAAATTACTGCGGACAAATATTGAAGTGTAATGAAATTCAAGTAATCATCATCATCATCAACAAGATGCAACCAGAGTCTGAACCATCTATTTTAGATAGTATTCAAATGATAACAGTGGCTATAACATAACCATTTAGGTTCAAATTCTTCAACAACGGGAAAAAAATCATTTAACCAAACCAACCAAACTAAATAACTATTTGCCCATTCAATATCAGTTTAAAAACAATAATAATATAACCACCAAGCATCATATAAACCCTTTGCACACAAGGTTAAAGCATTCATCTAATCAATGCTAAGTTTAGCAGGCATATAAGTTTTTCCCCTCCAAAGTTCAACAGAGAACCCCTTGCCTGTCATTTGATAAGGCCAAATAATGGCTAAAGAATAATGACAACCAATCAAAGGTTAAGGTGGGAAACACTTACGCTCGAAAAAATTGGAATAGTGTCTGAAAAAAACCCCTCTCTTGCATTGATAAGAGGCATACAATTTGGAAGAACTTTCAGGAGGGACTCGGAACTCTTCGATTTCTTCCTTATCATCGGAATACAGATCCAACGTGTCACCAGCCTCCCCCGACAATCTCATCCGCAGAATCTTTTTTCTGATAGCAAAAAGTGCATCCTTTTCCCCTTCGATCAACTTATTCTTCAGCTCATTCAGCTCATGAAACCATTCTACATACACTCAAAAACCCAGAATATTAAAATGAAAGATCTGTTGGCCAAGAACATGGCTGTAGCAGCAGCATCGGATCGATACAGCAAATAACAAACTTTGTGGCCAAGGACATATATAGCTGTATATACACGAGTCACCTACTCCAAATTTGCCAAACATTGATAGATACAGTAGGATACGCCTAAACACAGACACTGGAGTAGCACATCACGATATTCTTTAGACTTGTGTTTACCTTCATTGTATTGTATCCGAAGATCCTCTCACTGCGACGGTATGTCATGGCAGTATTCTCTACATCAGATTCAGAAATGTCATCAGTATTCTCTAGATCAGATTCAGAAAAATCATCGCTTCCCTTATTCAGCAGCTCCCTGAGGCACTCGGCATCGGTCATAATCTTATCATCATGTTTCCTTGTGGACAAACTCTTCATTTTCACACGAAGAAGCAATTCTGTCACGCCCTGTGAGAAAACCTGAAACCCTAGCAGAGAATTAGGGTGAACACAGAAGAAGAAGAGAGGCAACGTTGGGGAATTTGCCGAGAGGCTTCATTCCATTTTTAGAGAGCATTATATACATCAGTCTCTACAGCTGAGTTACCACTATCAAACAACGAAAGGTAAAGTAGAATACTGTTTACTAACGGTAACTAAACTATCCAACTACAAAACGCCAAGTGGCTATTTATCTATTATCTTCTGGTTCACTATGCGACGCCGTTCTCTTCTTGTAGAGTCCACTACTTAGATGAAAGCGACGTCGGATGGGCAGCCTCTTCTTCGTCTTCAACACAGGTGAAAGGAAGCCTGAGTTGACTCTGCATCTTCAAGCTCTGCATCTATGGCTGCCAACAGCATCACTCCTTCACAGGCCCCCTCAAGCTGGGAGGAACATATTGTGAACTCCTAGCTTGGTGAGCAAAGTATCAAAGCGATCAGAAGACAACCCCTTTGTGAAGAAATCTGCAAGTTGCTCTTCTGATTGGATGTGATGCAAAGATAGTAAACCAGACCTCAGTCTTTCACGAGTTACATGACAATCGACTTCTATATGTTTTGTACGCTCGTGAAAGACTGGGTTTTCGGCAATATGTAAAGCAGATTGATTGTCACAATAGATTCGAATTGGTGATGGATGCTCAACACCATAAAAACCCAGAAGTGACTTCAGCCACTGAACCTCACACGAGAGCTGAGCTAAAGCTCTATACTCCGCTTCAGACGAGGAACGGGAAACAGTAGATTGTTTCTTACTCTTCCAAGTGATCAATGAGTTCCCAAGAAAAGTACAGTAACCCGTCACTGAGCGCCTTGTGTCAGGGCAAGTTGCCCAGTCAGAGTCACAATAGCCTGTAAGATGAGTCGAATTGGAAGAAGGGAACCACAGACCTTGAGATGGATGAGCTTTTAAGTACCTGAGTATCCTGTGCAATGCTTGCAAATGAGAAGTGGTTGGGGCCCCCTGAAATTGACAGAGCTGCTGAACAGGGAAGCAGATGTCAGGTCTGGTGGTCGTGAGATATTGAAGCTGCCCTAAGAGATGTCGAAAATCAGAGCCATCTGGAAGAGGAACACCATCAGAAGCTGATAAAGAAGTCTTCATGCTCATTGGAGTCTTGGCAGGCTTAGATTCAAGGAAGCCAGCATCTGATAGTAACTCCAGACAGAATTTGCGTTGGCAAAGAGAAATGCCATCAGCAGATCGGGCAATTTCAACCCCAAGGAAATACTTGAGAGTACCCAAGTCTTTGATTTTGAAGGACATATGTAGATGAGCCTTGGTCTGTGTAATGAGTTCTGTGTCATTTCCAGCAAGGATCAAATCATCAACATAGATGATCACAATGACACAGGAGTCCTGACGTTGTAATTTAAATACAGAATAATCATCATAAGATTGAATGAACCCAAAACTCTGTAAACACTGACTGAGTTTAAGGTACCATTGACGACTGGCCTGCTTGAGGCCATAAATCGATTTTCTGAGTTTACAGACCTTGCCTTGCATCCCTGCCTGTCCTTTGAGATTGGGAGGAAGCTCCATGTAAACTTCCTCATCCAGATCCCCATGTAAAAACGCGTTACTGACATCCATTTGCTGCAAATCCCAACCCTTAATAGCAGCAACAGCCAAGAGCAGTTTAACAGAATTCATTTTTGCCACTGGAGAGTAAGTATCCATAAAATCCACTCCATGTGTTTGTGTATAACCCTTGGCAACTAAACGTGCTCTGCATCTTTCAACAGAACCATTAGGCAAGTATTTGGTTTTATAAACCCATTTATTCCCAACAACAGGTTTGTTAACAGGACGATCAACCACATCCCAAGTCCTGTTGGCATCCAGTGCTGTCATTTCCTCAGTCATAGCATTGTCCCAGCAAGGAATCAGTTTTGCCTGTTTGTAACTCTGAGGTTCAGGAAGGACAGTAATGGACAAGGAGAAATGCTTATGAGAAGGAGAAAGGTGGTCATAAGTGATGCAGTCACTAAGAGGATAAAGAAGTTTAGGGTCATGGGAAGAAGATGTAGCAGAAAGGAGACTGACATGGTAATCAGATAGATAAGCAGGTTTATGTAAAGTCCTGGATGTTTTTCGAAGAGCAATAGGAAGAGTAGAAGGGGGAGAACTGGACTGTCCAGAAGGAATAAAATCAGGATCAACAGTATCAGCCACATTATGGTCAGAAGGCAAAGGAGGGGACTGATATGTGTTGTCAAAGAAGAGAGAATGAGAAAGAGAAGATGAGAGAGGATCAGGGGAGGTAGCAGGCAAAGAATCAGAAGGAGAAACAGGCAACTGAGCTTGCTGGAAAGGGAAAACATCCTCATAAAACACAACATCCCTACTGAGGAAAACCTGGAGTGTATCCAAATCAAACAGTTTGAAACCCTTCACATCAAATGGGTATCCCAGGAAAGCTGCTCTTCTAGCCCTGGGATCAAACTTTCCTTTATGCTCATCCAGAACAGTGGCATAAGCCATACAACCAAATACCCTCAGATTGCTGTAGTCAGGTGGGACACCATAGAGACATTCAAAAGGAGATTTGTTCTCCAAAAGAGGTGTAGGAATCCTATTGATCAAATAGGCAGAATGAAGAACAAAATGACTCCAAAAGCTCTTAGGTAAACCAGATTGCAGTTTGAGGGATCTAGCAACATTCAAAAGATGTTGGTGTTTCCTTTCCACCCTGCCATTCTGCTGGGCAGTTCTCACACAGCTCATTTGGTGAATAATTCCTTGACATTGGTAGAATTCAGGCATATTGAATTCTTGGCCCTGATCAGATCTTATAACTTTAATAGATTTATCAAACTGATTCTTCACCATCAAGCAAAAGGAATGCAGCAAAGACCTAGCTTCTGATTTGAAGCCCATAAGAAACAACCAAGTGCATCGACTGTAATCATCCACTATGGTAAGAAAATATTTGTAACCATCATGAGAAACTACATCAACAGGTCCCCATATATCAACATGAATCAAATCAAACACAGACTTGCTACGAGAATGACTAAGAGGAAAAGGAAGCCTCTTTTGTTTGGACAACTGACATATCTCACAGTGAGAACTAGAAGGAACAAAAACGTCATTACAATGTTTCTGAATTGTCTGTAATCTAGGAAGAGATAAATGGCCAAGCCTAAGGTGCCACAAGGTAGAATCCTGACTGGTTTTCACTCCACAGATTTGAGGTAAGGTTGTGTTTGGACTCCCAGCATCACTCCCAAGCAAGTAGAGCCCTCTATCTACCCGGATTGAACCAATCTTCTGTTGTGATATTAGGTCCTGGATACAACAGAAGTTGGATTCAAAGGTGAGTGATACTGGAGTGTTTTTGGTTAACTGACTAACAGAGATAAGGTTGTAAGAAAAGGAAGGGACTAAGAGAACATTGGTAAGCAGAATTTCACAAGGAAGTTTAACCAAGCCAATGTGAGTGACTTTGGATTTTTGACCATTAGGTAAGTTGACAAACATATGGGGAACCTCTTGAGAGCGCAAGAACAAGTTCACATTGCAAATGATGTGATCACTGGCACCAGTGTCAAGAACCCAAACAGCTGACAGAGCAGCCTGAGAGGTAATGGAAGAGAAAGAGCTACCTGAAATTGGTGGATGAGAACCACTAGGACGAGTCAGAACAGAATTGGACTGAGGGAATTGAGCAGGAGGATGAGGGTGGTGTTGCTGAAGAAGGCTGCGCAGCTTGTGAATCTCATCAGCAGAGAACCAAAGAGGTTGACCCTCTTGACTGGTCCTGGGCTCAGAAACAGGACTGGATGGACTTTGAGAGCTCCCTCCAGATGAGACCACACCATCATTCCCAGAAGTATCAATGGAACCAGCAAAAGTGCGCCCACCAGCCTCATTCTTCCTCTTATTCTTCAACTTAAAACAGTCCTCAATGACATGGTTCTCCTTCTTGCAATAACGGCAAAAAAGTTCCTGAGACTTCTTACCATCCTTGCCAGACTCCCTGCGTTGGCCAGATTGACCAGATAAAGCGGCAAGGGCAATGGATTCAGCAGTAGTCTTGGTTTTGCCAGTGGTCATTTGACGCTCAAGCTGAACAACAGCCCGATAGACTGTGTCCATATCAGGTAAGGGATCAAGCATAAGCATCTGGGTTTTGACCTGCTGATAGTTCTCGTTCAAACCCAGTAAGAAACGGATCACTCGCCCCCTATCCCGATACCTGATCACAGTTTCAGAACATTTGGAAGCACATTCACAGACAGGAATAGGTTCATAATGCTCTTGTTCATCCCACAAAAGCTTCAAATCAGTATGATATTGACGCACAGTTTTAGTGCCCTGTTTAGTGAGATCAACCTTCTCCTGCAGATTAGCAATCCGCACAGAGTCACCCTGACTAAACTTAGATCTCAAGTAACCCCAAGCATCAGCAGCAGATCTGATGGAACGCAGACTAGGAACGATGTCCTCAGAAACAGAATTGCGAATCCAACAGAGAATAGTACCGTTACAACGATCCCAAGTGCTACGAGAAGGATCAGTGTCATCAGGTACCTGAACTGTGCCGTCGATGAAACCCCATTTGTTCTTGGTGCGCAGAGCAACCTCCATGGATTCAGCCCAGAGAAGGTAATTGTCATCATTCAACTTGAAGCTGATGACAGGGAGAAACGAATTGTCACTGGCAGCCAAGTATAAGGGGTTGGAATAAGGATCTTCATAGCGAGACGCAGGGTGTGGGTTGGTGGTGGTGGAAGTACCAGAACCAGGAGAAGTGAATTCAGCCATGGAAAATCAAAAGAAGAAAGAAAGAAAACGAACAGAGGAAAAAACAGAATCGGCACTCCTAGATCGGAGGCTCTGATACCATGAGAAAACCTGAAACCCTAGCAGAGAATTAGGGTGAACACAGAAGAAGAAGAGAGGCAACGTTGGGGAATTTGCCGAGAGGCTTCATTCCATTTTTAGAGAGCATTATATACATCAGTCTCTACAGCTGAGTTACCACTATCAAACAACGAAAGGTAAAGTAGAATACTGTTTACTAACGGTAACTAAACTATCCAACTACAAAACGCCAAGTGGCTATTTATCTATTATCTTCTGGTTCACTATGCGACGCCGTTCTCTTCTTGTAGAGTCCACTACTTAGATGAAAGCGACGTCGGATGGGCAGCCTCTTCTTCGTCTTCAACACAGGTGAAAGGAAGCCTGAGTTGACTCTGCATCTTCAAGCTCTGCATCTATGGCTGCCAACAGCATCACTCCTTCACACCCTGGGAGATGAGAAGACTTGGCAATGGAGGAATTCTCGGTAGAAAGGGAACAGAAGAGAAGAGAACAGAGAGGAGAGAGAGAGAGAAGAGAGAGAAGGGAAAGTGAGTTTGTTATTGATCAGCTGAAAAGTAGTTACAACGGTCCTGGCGCCTATTCTTTATACCACTAATACAAAATTACCACTCCACTCCCTCAACTTCTAACTCTATACAGTTTAGTCCGCTCGTTACAACTCCCCACGTCTTCACTGAAAGCTTGTCCTCAAGCTTCAAAGTCTGGAAATCGGCCATGATATTCAATCCAATTCTCCCAGGTAGCATCCTCCTCGGTCTGGTGAGACCACTGCACCAGTACCTGTGTCAATGGTTTGTTATCCTGAGCTATAACTCGCCTAGCTAGGATTGCTAAAGGAGACAACTTGAGAACCCCCTGATCATCCATGACAGGTAATGTTGGCTGGACCTGCAGAGAATCCCCCACCCTGGCCTTCTTCAACAGAGACACATGAAACACAGGATGGATGGCCGAGTCAGCTGGTAACTGTAGCTTGTAAGCTACTGCCCCGATCTTCTGCACAATAGGGAATGGGCCAAAGAACTTGGGAGCCAGCTTCTGATTAACCCTGGTTGCAACCGAAGTTTGGCGATAGGGTCGCAGCTTGAGATAGACTAAGTCACCAACCTGCAGTGTCCTCTCAGTTCTGTGGGCGTCAGCCATTTGCTTTTGTTTATTTTGAGCCTTGGCCAAGTTCTGGCGCAAAATGTCCACCAACCTGTGCTGCTGCTGCAACCTTTCAGCCACTGCTGCCACAGGAGTGGAAAGGGGGTTTTGGATAGAGAAATGGGAAGGAGCATACCCATAAAGAGCCTCGAATGGAGTGAGCTGAAGACTGCTGTGGAAATTGGTATTATACCACCACTCAGCTAAGGTCAACCATCCAAACCACTTCTGGGGACACAGATGAACCATTCCCCTCAAATATTCTTCCAAACATCGATTCAATCTCTCTATCTTACCATCAGTCTGAGGATGGTAGGTAGTTGAGTAATGCAGCTTCACCCCCTGTAATTCAAACAGTTTAGTCCAAAAAGAGCTTGTGAATAGAGCATCTCTGTCAGATACTATAGTAGTAGGCATGCCATGCAACTTAAACACCCCGTCAAAGAAAACTTGAGCCACTGTCATAGCTGTGTAAGGCTTGGAAAGACCAAAGAAGTGCCCATACTTGGAGAAACGATCAATCACCACCAATATAGCATCCTTGCCACTGGAACTAGGCAAGCCTTCTATGAAATCCATAGAGATGTGCTTCCAGGCTTGATCAGGTATAGGAAGTGGTTAGAGTAAACCAGGGTAAGGAATGTTTTCAATTTTACACTTCTGACAAACTTCACACAGGCTGATGTAATTCTTCATATCAGTCTTGAGACCAGGCCACCAGAAATATCTCCTCAGCCTCTGATAACTGGCCTGCACCCCAGAATGACCCCCCACTGGTGAGTCATGGAACAGTTGCAACAACTGTTTCCTCATTTCTCCAGTACTACCCACATAAATGGCCAACTTGTGGTAAAGCAATTCCTGAGAAAACCAGTACAACTTAGGGCCAATGAAAGGCACAGCAGCTTCTGCAATCAACTGTTGACACAACTGATCCCCCTCATAGGTAGACTCCAATTACCCCAACCAAGCTGGTAGCACAGCTGTAATAGGACAACAGTTGCCTGAACTGGCCATGGAAGTGACAAAACTGGGATGTCTTGAAAGGGCATCAGCTACATGATTAAACTTGCCCTGGCGATATTGAATCTCAAAATCAAGCCCCAGCAGCTTCACCAGACCCTTCTTCTGAATCTGAGTGTGGATTTTCTGTCCCAGGAGATGTTTCAAACTCTCATGATCTGTTACTATCTTAAATTGCCTGCCCTCCAAATAATGGCGCCACTTAGTCACTGCCAAAATAACAGCAAGGTACTCTTTCTCATAGGTAGAGAGTCCTTGTTTCCTAGGCCCCAATGCCTGGCTGTGATAAGCCAAAGGTCTTCCTTCCTGTGAGAGGACAGCACCAATTCCCATCTCACTGGCATCTGTTTCCAAAACAAACTGCTTGGTGAAATCAGGCAAAGCTAAAACAGGAGCAGTCACCATGGCCTGTTTGAGGGACATGAAAGTTGTCTGAGCTGATTCAGACCAAGCAAAACTATCCTTCTTCAACAAATCTGTAAGAGGCTTTCCAATCACACCATAGTTCTTGACAAATTTCCTGTAATACCCTGTGAGACCAAGAAAACCACGCAACTCCTTCACATTTCTTGGTACTGGCCACTTGACCATGGCATCTATCTTGGCTGGATCTGTTGTCACCCCTTCCTGGTTGATTATGTAGCCTAAGTAGTCAATCTTAGTCTGACCAAAAGCACACTTTGAGGGCTTGGCAAAGAGAGTATTCTCCCTTAACACAGTCAGAGCTGTTGCCAAGTGCTGTTTATGGCTCTCCTGATCAGGGCTGTAGATTAAAATGTCATCAAAAAACACCAGAATAAACTTCCTGAGGTAGGGGCTGAATATCTGGTTCATCAATGCTTGGAAAGTGGCAGGAGCATTGGTGAGGCCAAATGGCATCACAGTGAACTCATAGAGGCCCTGGTGAGTTCTGAAAGCAGTCTTGTGCTGATCCAAGGGATTCATCCTGATCTGGTGATAACCAGAAAGCAGGTCAAGTTTTGTAAAAAACTTAGATCCCCTAAGTTCATCCAACAAATCATCAATGACTGGTATAGGAAACTTATCCTTTATAGTAAGATCATTCAACTTCCTGTAATCAACACAGAATCTCCAGGAACCATCTTTCTTAAGCACCAACAACACAGGTGAGGCATAAGGGCTTCTGCTAGGTTGAATATACTGAGCAGCTAACATTTCCTTCACCAACCTATCCATTTCATTCTTTTGAGGAATTGAGTACCTGTAGGGTCTGAGGTTGACAGGTTGTGAGTTTGGTTGCAGTGGTATGGTGTGGTCACAGTCCCTTGATGGTGGTAGGGACTGGGGTTTTCCAAAAACATCACTGAACTCCTTAAGCACTGAATCCAAGAATGCAGGAGCTGGATTCTTGTTACTGCTTTTACCAGACTCCCCATCCAGTTGGTTAAGCACTTCTAGGCTGCAAAGTTGACCCACAAAAGCAATCTCTGAACGGTTCCACAGCTTCTGCAGGCTCTTGCCAGATATCAATTTGCACTGAGCAATATCCTGAATACCCTGCAACACCACTTCCTGACCTTCCCAATCAAAATAGAGCTTCAAATCCACAAAATCAAACTTAACCGGGCTGATGGTCCTGAGCCAGTCCAACCCCAAAACTGCATCATTGGATCCTAAGCTAAGGATTCTCATGTCATACTGGAATACCCTACCTTGCATTTCCCAACAAAATCCTTTGCAAACCCACTGACTGAGTAACACCGTGCCATCTGCAAGTTTCACCCGCAAGGGATGACTGGCAGGCACTAGTTGACAATGGAGCTCCTTGGCCTTTCTTTCACTGAGAAATGTGTGAGTACTGCCAGTGTCCAGCAGAATGTGAATCTTCTCCTTCTTCACCTTGCCTTGAACGATGAAGGAGCTAGCCAGGCCACCACTGTTGAGGGCTTGCATTGAGACTTCTTCTAACTCAGTCTGCTCCATATCAGCACCTGGATCCAACACTTCTTCTTCATACACTTCATTACTGTCATCAGCAATGTCTTCTTCACTACCAGCCTGAAGCACATTGAGCTGTTTCTTAACTCCACACACATGCCCAAAGAAGTATCGATCCCCACACTTGTAACATACCCCCCTAGCTCCATTGTTTTTCTGTGGAACCACAGGAGACTTTACCCCTGCTGTTCTGGTAGGAGGAGGTCCTTCCCAACGACGAGGAGCAGAAGAGCTGCTTGGAATGACAGTGGACCGGCCAGAATTCCCTTGACCCCCTCGCCATTTCTTCTGGTGAGCCAAATTGGATTCTTCCTGCAATTGCGCGAGTTGGAACGCATCCGCCAAGGACTGAGGCTTCCACATATGCATCACCGGCCTCAATTCTTCATCCAGACCACTAATGAAACTGCTAATGAAGTAGATCTCGTCCAAGGCTGGATTAAAACGCGCCATTAACGAACGCAATTCCTCGAATTTCTCCTGATATTCCGCCAACGACCCCCGCTGCCTGAGTTTATTGAACTCTGCGACCACACCGCCATAGGAACGATTACCAAAACGCTGGCACAGAGCAGCCACAAATTCTTCCCAAATCAGCTCATGGCGCCCAATCTTCCAGCCTTCGAACCAAAGATCTGCTCGCCGCTGGAAGTAGATGACCGCGAGATTAACCTTCTGGTCCGGAGGAATGGAGTAGATCTCGAAAAGTTTCTCACACTTCCGCGTCCATTCACGCGGATCCTCGCCATTGAAAGACGGAAAATCGAGACGAGGAAGTTGATGAATGTGACCCGGGGCTGGAGCCTGAATTTGCTCCCGCTCAACTGCACGAGGAAACGGAGCTGGAGCCCTGGGAAACTGCGCCATGGCAGGATCAACTCCCCTAAATCCTTGAGGCGGTAGCGGCAAAATGCCTCGGCCCCCATTCCGGTCAACCAGCGGCGTCGCCACACCAGCAATGGGGCCCGGTGGCCTCGGATTCACGACTAAGTGGAGCATCTCACGGATCTCCGTCGTGAAATGAGCAAAACGATCGTCCAAACGGTCTTCAATTTCGGTGAAACGAGTGGCCGTACCTGCCTCCATGGAGTCGAGACGAGCTGTGAGATTGACGAATTGCTGCGAATGGCCATCGGCACGAGTCACCAATTCCTTAAATCGAGTCGCCTGAGAAGTAATTTTGGCGTCCAAGTCGAGCTGAGCTTGCGATGTCGAAGCCACGAGTCCAGCCAGACGATCATCAATCGATCCACGAGTCGCCGTCATGATGAAAGGAGCCAAGTCGAGGCTCTGATACCACCTTGTCACGTCCTGGGAGATGAGAAGACTTGGCAATGGAGGAATTCTCGGTAGAAAGGGAACAGAAGAGAAGAGAACATAGAGGAGAGAGAGAGAGAAGAGAGAGAAGGGAAAGTGAGTTTGTTATTGATCAGCTGAAAAGTAGTTACAACGGTCCTGGCGCCTATTCTTTATACCACTAATACAAAATTACCACTCCACTCCCTCAACTTCTAACTCTATACAGTTTAGTCCGCTCGTTACAAATTCCCTAAAGATCTGATAAATGACACAAACATCTCCTTCCACGAATCGCTCCATCAGTTTCTTCAAATCTAAATGCCAAAGATAAACAATCGTCCAAACCTAGAATTGTGAAGATAAAATAAAAAGAGATCTGCAATAATCATTCTGTTGAGGCGAATCGTCGGCCAGCTAGAGATTTAAAGCAAAGCAGAGAAAGGACTTTTTCTGATTATTCGATCTTTTACCTTCACTGCCAACATCGTCGCTCTTGATCGCGAGCTTCGGTAGTCTCGGAGCCGTTTCGCACGAGAACAGCCTACTACGCGCAGAATAAGCAGCCAGCGAAGGAGGAGGAAAGATTGGGAGGGAACGTTTTGCTAATTCGACGCTGCGAGACGAACAGAGGAGACGCCGGTAGAAATTTCCAAAGAGCGATCGCCACATCTTTTCTCAACAGCGGCCGGCTGATTAGGGTCTCAACAGCGATCGCCACATCTAAAATTTTATTTATTTTTTCATTTATTTTGCCTTTTGTTCAATTTGGGAGAAAATCCAAAACTGGGTATCATGTGGATTTTCTAAATGCTTTAAGTTCGTTTATTATTTCTAGGCGGTGACATGACAGGCTGACCATTAGTCAACAATGATGACCATCCAACATAACGATCAACACTCGAGTAGGGTCAAATCAACTCTTTTAGGTTTGGACCATATAAATTACGGTAAAGTTTGGACCATATAAAAATATATAATAAAGAGTCCATAGGAGTCATCTTATGTATATGTCTCTATGTACATGCGGTACTAATAATCAAGTAGTCTCTCTCTCTTAACTTTATTTTGAATCTGAAGCTCTCCCTTCTCTCTAAACTTTGGTTTTTCACTTTCCCCCCCTTCTATTCAGGGCTGCCGCCGGTTCCCCTGGGTGTCCGGCGGTGGCCCAACCTGTTTTCTTTCCTGTTTTTTTTCTTTCTTGTTTGTCCTGCTGCCTTTCTCTTGCCCTTGTTGGCTTTTTCCAGATCCTTGTTGTCTTTCTCCAAGTGGTTTTATCCACAGTGTTTTTCTGGTTCGTAGATCTGTTTGGCCTTGCTCATTGGATCCAAAAATTGCAGCTTGGGGAGCTTCTAATGGTGGTTTGCTGTTGGGGGTCTGCTCCATGTTGGTGTGCTCATCTCTTTTGGTGGACAGATTCACTGTTCCTCCCTTCCTTCTACCTTTGGTTTGCTTGATTCCTGTAGGTTGACTGTTGTGGGGGTCTGGTGTCATTTTTGGTGTTGTGGGTTGTGGTTCGCTGGTTCTCTGGAGATGGTGAAGATGAATCTTCTCTTTCCCGATTCCTGGTCATCCATGCCTCCGGCTTCCTCGGCCTCTTTCAGCTCAGAGCATCCCGGTTTCAGCCTGCTCACCGCCGAGTTTTCTCTTCCATGAGATTCACTGTGATGGGTCGTCTTTGAACGATCCCCAGGTGGCGGCTTATGGCGTTGCAATGTTCAATAGCCATGGGCTTGTCTGGTTTCGGGCGAGTTGAAACCTTGCTTGTGCTGTGCTGATTGTTGTGGAAGCAAGGGGTTCTGGGTTCACTTTGATAGCCTTCTGTTTTGGATTCTTCTGTTGGATTCAATCTTTTCCAGTTCTTTCTGGCTTTTGCTTTTGGTTTGGATTGCTCTGACTTTTGAGTTCATTGTTGTTTTGCTTTCATTGTGTTTATCCCGCTCCTTGTAACTGTGATTCTCAATGCAATACAAGTGCTTCTATTGTCAAAAGAAAGTACATGCGGTACTAATTAGATTGCCTCGGCGTCATCTTCCTTGAATTTCGTTTATACATAAAAGGTGAGTGTCTGTGTCTCTATGTACATGCGGTAATTAGATTGCCTCGGCCTCATCTTTCTTATCCTTGCGTACAACAAAAATGAAAGAAGCATCTCCAGTTCTAAGGAAATGGCTGGCAGCTTTTCTACGCTGTCACCATCGGCAAATCCCAGGAGCTTCCGTTCTACTGGCAGCAAGTAGTTCATCGTACTTCGTACCATACACAAACCCCCACAACTGCAGAAAAGATAAAACATGGCCTCACTTCACCGCGGAAAGTAACCAAGTGTACACGAGCATAGACAGAGAGAAAAGCTTGAAACCATACCTCCACCTCTTTCACTTCAAAGTCCTCTGAGAATGCGAGGCAAGGGTTTCCATATGTTTCCGACACTGAACTTGATCCGTTCAACCTTGTTTTGACAGAAGACAACCACAACAAGTCAAGCAGTTTTTAACTTCCGTGTTTTCACCCTACTCGTTTTTGTTCTTTGAGCATATGCATGGAATATGTGTTCTTCATGCTATGGAAACCAGAGCTTACAGTTCATTGTCCAAGTACAGCGCAAAGTGGCCACCACCACCAACTGCTATAAAGTCGGTCGAGCACAATGTGTAATATCGATTTGCACCTGATCTCGTACAAGGCATTAGGACACTACTAGGTTAGTGTGGGATACAAAATCATTTTGCACATTGAGACTGCATAGTGAAAAGGCATCGTGTTTCATTACGTTTTAATATGCCCACATCCTAAGAGTCTTTCATCAATATATCAAACAAGTGGATGAGATCGGTCGAGTGGTCTCGGCTACATTAATATTATTCTGAGGAAATGGTAGCTTTTTCAAGCCAGAGGGCTGGCATATTTCACCTTGCAACTACAAGTCCAGGGTTCCTCAGGTGATTGAGCTGTTAGTTCACACTGGTATCATAAACAGCATACCGACCAAATTGAAGAAAGAAAGAAAAACTAGTTGACTAGCAAAATACTCAAGTGATGTGAAATTCTGCAGCTTGATTACAACATTGACGTATAAAAGAGACATTTTAACAAGAATCTAAAGCTGTAAAGCGGAGATGGATGGCATGAAGTACCTGTAGGATGGAATATAACAGGATTTCCAGATGTATTTGTGAAGACAAAGGTCCTATTTGTTCCCTGTAAATATCTAAGGTTCAGTATCCATTCAAATTTTAATAAGCATAAGTAAATAGAAGCCCGACAAGTTACCTGATATTTTTTGTTTGTTGGTCTCAGTGGTGCTTCAACCAAGCCACCAAAAACCGCACCTTTTCTGTCTCCAACAACCTGAAAGAAAATGAACGAAAGAATATGGAAGGTGACTAAAAATACCAGCAGCAATACCGAACAAGGTCTTTCATCATTCCACCCTCTTCTCAGAATCAATCAAGTTTTCTACTTTTTATCCTTCCTTTGTTCTGTGTTCTATTCTAGGACCTAAAACATCTATGGAGCCAGTTGGTTGTACATAGAACATTCACCTTTCAGTAAAAAACATGGTTGCATTCTCTAGCATATCTAGGCCTTTTTAGTTTGTTGGGCTCTAAGATTAAGGAGGAGAGGGGAATAAATAAGCTGCAAGAAAGATAAAAATTACAAAAAGAGATTAAGAGAAAGAAGTGAAGTTTATCCAAATGAAGTCGAGACCATGTTATTGATTCATGCATTACCAGCAGGCTGGGACCAGGCCAAAGCATGCTTCTTCTATATAAAGTTGAGAGTGAAATCCCATGCCTCCATGTACTGCAAAAACACACAGAGGCCAGAGCCGAGAATATCAACTATTACGAGAGAGTAGCATCAGGTCGAAAAATCTACAAGATCACAACTCAAGCATACAAATTTCTCCATCACTCAAGCACTCACCTGTAGAGCAATAACCATTTCCTCCCTTTCACCAAAGCAGGGAGTGAAGCATAGAGCACCGTTCTTGTCTTTTCCGAGAGAAGTAATGATGGTTCAGAAATGTCAGGAAGATGTTCTAAAGCAACAGGCGGCTTCCCATTTGGCTGCATATCCTTCATCTCAAGTCCATCAAAGTTATCAGGACTGACTTCATTCACAAATTTGGACTTAGAATCACCCTTCCGCTCTTGACTCCAGTACCCACTGATTCTAGTGTATTGGTACATGTTTTTAAGAGATTGTTTCCCCTTAGACAATAAGCCTTTCTTCCCACTGTTCCCTTTCGTTTCACCGTCAGATGGCTGATCCCCGCCCATTTCTCCTTGATATTCATTTTCAGCATCTGATTCAGCTTTGCTTCCAGGCTCAGAAGCAGACAATAACGAATAGAGAAATGCCTTGAAAGAAGAGGTATCTGGCCCATAAAGTGGATCGACACTATCTTCTTCAGTGATTGATTCTAGTGAACTACTTTTCGAGTCATCCTGATTATCCTGTTGCATCAAGAGTAGAAATCACTTTAGTCTAGAAATCCACAATGCAATCACCTTTTAGGGAACCCAGACGAGGATCCTAGTGGACATACAATCACATGTCAGAATAGAACTGATATGGGAAACCATAAAACACTTCACCATTGTGCTCAAATCTGACTTAGCATTTTCGAGTCCTAAAGGCTGATGAACAGCTTGACTGTTCTGTTATGTAATGATATGAAAAACGAGAGATATCATGGCCTGATACCATTTACAACTCAGGAAGAAAGCCCAGCTTCAGAAAATACTGTAAGCTTTTTACACGGCTATAGGTTCCATCCAAAACAAACAATCGGCCTGGCAACCTATCATTTCCTAATCTAACACACACGAAACCTCCATTTTCAAAACACTAAAATCGAGTCCTATAAATTACCTAGAAGGAGAAGCTGTAATCCCGAAACCCATCGTCTAACAGGAGCTGGGTTTCCACCCAATCATCCCAAAAACCAAATTTGATGCCAGAATCACAGTGGCAGCGAAGATGAAATTGAAAAAACGAAGACTTACAGGTTGAGATGGAGGAGGATGGTTGTTGGAAGAAGGTTTATCAGAGATAGGATTGAGAAGGCCAGTGGTGAGATCAGACACAAAATGAACTGCTTTACTCCTCAGTGATCTCTGCTTCCCCATTTCTCCTCTCTTGGTGATCGCCCCCCCTTTTTCCAATCGTTCTCCTTCCCGGGAGAAGTCGAGATGATGAAATTTCCGAGTTCCAAGCACCGGACTCGTCAACACGAAAAGAGAACCTCTATTGGCTTATCTAGTAACTACCCAAAAAAGACACCATTCTTTGTTTTTTCTTTGGGCAATCCGTAATCCACTGTTAACTCCGGGCAGCTCCAGAAATTTGATTATTTACTGATAGAGACCCGCACGGGTAGGGGGGTCGGGTTGGGTTGGCCGACTGGGCCGGGTTGGTTTGTTTGTCTTATTACTCCTGTGTTAGTCGTGAAACTCATAAATAGGTTTCTGCACATTCATTTACGGTTAAGCAATAATAATATCAAAATCTATAAATCCCTCTTTTCTCTGTTCTTCCCCAATTCTTCTTCCAATCCCTAATTCTTCCTCTAATCCCTAATTCTTTCTCAATCCCCAATTCTACTTCACAACCCCAATCCCTACCCATCTCTATCAATTGGTATCAGAGCCTGGTTGAGCTCTGCTAGGCTCTCTGATCCTTCGTGGACACGGCTGCTGCAGCGGATTGACGCTCTCTGCGCCGATCGAGAGGCGGAGGCGTGCGAGGAGGGCTGCCCCGAGGAGGCAGCGGGCGAGCCGCGCGTGCTGGCGCGCGTGACACCGCCGCGCGGAAGGCCGGCGGTCGGGGACGGGGCGGCAGCGCCCGGCGAGACGGCGGTGGCGGGAGAGCCGCGGCGCGAGCCGCGCGAGGGAGTGCTTCGCGGCGGGGATTGCTCGCCGCCGAGCGCGCACCGAGGCTGCGGGGCGGGGAACCCAGGGGCGGACGCCGGGGGTGCCAGGATGACGCCGGCGTCTCCGGGAATCTCGCTCCACTCAGTGACCGGCCTACCTACGCCGGGAACACTCCGTTTCCGAGCTGAGATAGCTGGCACTACTGCTCTGACGTTGGTGGACAGTGGCGCGACTCTTAATTTCATCAGCGAGGAACTGGCTAAGCAAATTCCTCAACAGCCGAGCGAGGTGGAGTCTATGGTGGTCAAGGTTGCCAATGGCGCCCCAATGCGGTGCCGGGCAGTGTATCGGCAGCTGCCGTTCGAGATTCAAGGGCTGCCCATCACTGCCGATATGTATGTTCTACCCATCCGCGGGTTTGACTTGATCTTGGGTGTTCCATGGTTGCAGGAATTGGGACCGGTGACTACTGATTGGCGACGTTTGACTATGCGGTTCAAGTGGAGAGATAAGGAGTGGAGTCTGCAAGGGCTCACGACGGCCCTAGGGCCTATTTCGATCCATGAGTGCACGGCGGAGGGCGAGGCTGAGCTGGCTGTCCTCTGCTGGCCCACAGTGGCGACCGATGCGAAGGAGCTAGCCCCTGACCTGCAGCGGGTACTGGATCCAGCTCAAGGAGGGTGTGGAGGCGGTGAATGTCCGACCCTATCGGTATGGGCACTCGCAAAAGGAAGAGATCGAGCGCCAGGTGGAGGAGATGCTGGCGACCGGGTTAATCCGCCCTAGCACTAGTCCTTTTTCTTCGCCGGTCCTCCTGGTCAAGAAAAAGGATGGGACTTGGCGGTTCTGCACAGATTACAGGGCCCTCAATGCTGCGACGGTGAAGGATCGGTTCCCGATTCCCACAGTAGACGACATGCTCGACGAGCTCCATGGGTCAGCCTACTTCACTAAGCTCGATTTGCGGGCCGGGTATCACCAGATCCGGATGCAGGAGGAGGATGCGCACAAGACCGCTTTCAGGACTCATAACGGCCATTATGAGTACTTGGTTATGCCCTTCGGCTTGTGCAATGCTCCCTCGACTTTTCAGGCGGCTATGAATGACATCTTCAGACCTCTACTCCGCCGGTATGTTCTGGTCTTTTTTGATGACATTCTGGTTTACAGCCCATCTTGGGAAGAGCATTTGCAGCATTTGCAGACAGTCTTTGAGGTGTTGAGGCATCACCAGTACTACCTCAAGGCCTCGAAGTGTGCATTCGGGGTGCAGAAGGTCGAGTACTTGGGCCACATTGTCACGCCCCAGGGAGTGCAGGTGGACCAGTTGAAGATACAGGCGATGGTTGAGTGGCCTACCCCGACCACGGTCACGGAGCTGAGGGGTTTCTTGGGCTTGACAGGGTATTACCGGAAGTTCGTGCAGGGGTACAGCATGATCGCCCGGCCCTTGACTAATCTGCTGAAGAAGGGCGGGTTTGCTTGGACCCCAGAGGCGGAGACGGCCTTCCAGCGGCTGAAGCAGGCCATGACCTCCACTCCGACTCTAGCTATGCCGGATTTCTCCCGGACCTTTGTGATTGAGGCTGATGCGTCTGGTCGGGGAATTGGGGCGGTGTTATCACAGGACCGCCATCCGGTGGCCTTCATGAGTAAGACCTTAGCTCCCTCCAAGGAGGCGTGGTCTACATACCAGAAGGAGATGCAGGCTATCATCACTGCTGTGCAGATGTGGCGACCGTACCTTCTGGGTCAGAAGTTTCATATCTACACCGACCACCAGAGCCTGCGGAATCTGTTGGAGCAGCGCGTTTCCACTCCTGATCAGCACAAGTGGGTCGCGAAGCTCCTAGGCTATGATTATGAGATACACTACCGACCGGGGCCCTCTAACGTGGTGGCCGATGGGCTTTCGCGGAGGCCGGGAGGCGAGGTGTTAGCAGCGGTGACGGGACCAGTACCCCAGTTTTGGGACGCCCTTCGAGCCCTGACAGAGACAGATGCATATTTGCGGGGCTGCCGGGATACAGCAGTCGGCGAGACTCCGGGCCAGTACTCGTTTCGCCAGGGGCTGGTGTTCTTTCGAGGGCGCCTTGTCCTTCCCCGGGGCTCTTCCCTGGTGACGACTGTGCTTAAGGAGTACCACGACTCCCCTTTTGGCGGACATTCTGGGGTGGAGCGGACTCTGAGGCGGATCCGGGCACAGTTTTATTGGCCTCAGATGGCTCAGGATGTGAAGGACTATGTCGGCTCTTGTGACACCTGCCAGCGGGTTAAGGCCTCCCATCTTAGACCGGCCGGTCTATTACAGCCATTACCGGTGCCGGAGCGGGTGTGGGAGGACATCAGCATGGACTTCATTGTCGGACTTCCTCCCTCCGGTGGTAAGACAGTGTTGTTTGTTGTTGTGGACAGGTTGACGAAGTATGCTCACTTCATGGCATTGGCGCATCCATATACGGCCCTGGCAGTTGCAGAGCAGTTTGTGATGGGAGTTGTACGCCATCACGGGTTTCCGCGGTCGATTGTCAGTGACCGGGATTCGGTTTTCTTGAGCCGTTTCTGGCAGGAGGTTTTCGCTTTGGCCCAGACGACATTGCGCATGAGCTCTGCATACCACCCGCAGACAGATGGCCAGACGGAGGTGGTCAACCGATATTTTGAGCAGTACCTGCGTTGTTTCGCTCACCAGCAGCCGCGGAGGTGGTTAGCTCTGTTACCCTGGGCCGAGCTATGGTATAATTCCACTTATCATAGGGCGATTCAGACGACCCCGTTTGAGGCGCTGTACGGGCGACCACCACCCGCATTGGTTCGCTACCAGCAGGGCGCCAGTCAGGTGGATGCGGTGGACCGCTGGCTCGGAACGCGGGATGAGGCTTTGGAGCAGCTCAAGGCCAATCTGGCTGCTGCTAATAACAAAATGAAGCAGTTGGCTGATGCAGGCAGGCGGGAGGAGGAGTTTGAGGTGGGGGACTGGGTTCTGCTTCGCCTTCACCCCTACAGACAGGCTTCCGTTTTCCGGCGAGCCTACCAGAAGCTGGCTGCCCGGTACTTTGGTCCCTATGAGGTGCTGTAGAAGATTAATCCAGTGGCTACCGTTTGCAGTTACCGGCAGATGCGCGTATTCACCCTACCTTCCATGTGTCGCTGCTGAAGCGCTACAGAGGAGCCGCGGATCGGGTGGAGACGACAGCGCCACCAGTCTCTGCCGATGGTGATCTTGTACTTACCCCTGTGCAGGTTGTGGATACCAGGTGGGTTCGGAAGGGCGGGCGGCTGATTGAGGAGAGTTTGGTTCTGTGGAAACACATGACGCGTGAGGATGCTACCTGGGAGGAGACTGCCGAGCTACGACAGCGTTTCCCGACGTTTGACCTTGAGGACAAGGTCATTTCTGATGGGGAAGGGGATGATAGAGACCCGCACGGGTAGGGGGGTCGGGTTGGGTTGGCCGACTGGGCCGGGTTGGTTTGTTTGTCTTATTACTCCTGTGTTAGTCGTGAAACTCATAAATAGGTTTCTGCACATTCATTTACGGTTAAGCAATAATAATATCAAAATCCCTAAATCCCTCTTTTCTCTGTTCTTCCCCAATTCTTCTTCCAATCCCTAATTCTTCCTCTAATCCCTAATTCTTTCTCAATCCCCAATTCTACTTCACAACCCCAATCCCTACCCATCTCTATCATTTACCTTCTTCCGGGTCTGTAGTCACACCATCGTCGTGTTCTGCGGGGATGAATGGGACTGGTCACCGCTCGGCAGGCGAAAGGACTACGAGTTGGAAATGGATATTTTATTTACTATTAATTAATTTCGTTTGTTGGATTAATTAGGTGGCAGTCCGTTATCGTCTTCGTCACCCACTTATCCTTTTGTCGCTCGCTAATCGTGCGTCCAAGCAAAACCACACACCCAGCGGCCGGAGCCCGGTTTGGAAATCCGCCAACTCTCTTCAATGCAGTGTTGAGATATAGGGCTCGGCCCAAGTGTATACAACAGGGCCTGTTGTGTAGTTGTAGCCGTGCTCTCTTAGGGAACGCGGCTAGGGTTAATCATATAACAACTATAGGGTTAAAGACACATTTGGTCACTGAGATTACAAAATCGGGACATGTTTAGTCACTAGAAAAAGTTAATATCAAATTTGATCACTATAATTACTAAAACTGGACACATTTAGTCACTCGCCGTTAGTCTCCGTCCAACTCCGTTAATGAAGTCCGTTAAGTGCTGATGTGGCAAACAGAATTGCCTAATCAGCCGGATATAACCCAACAAAAATAAAACCCGACCCGCCACGTCATTATAACCCGCCACGTGATTAAACCCAACCCAACCCATGACCCAACCCCACTTGCATCTGAGATTAGCAGTCGCTCGCTTCAAACGATTCACAACAAAACATTCATTCAAGAAATCCCTACCTTCCGCCGACAATCCCGCCGGAATCTTCGGATGCCGCCCATCGGCGACTCGCGCCATTACGTCCTCCTCCTCCAAACCCCTCCATGGCCGCTTCCCTGTCACCATCTCCACCACCGTGCACCCCAGTGCCCAAACATTCATCGTCGTCGTCACCCTCCCCGCCACCGCCACCTCCGGCGCCATGTACCTCACCGCCCCCCTAATCCCCAAATTCTCCGCTCCTCCGCTCTGCTCCGACAAGTCCACCGCCGCCCCGAAGTCCGCCACCTTGAGCCGACCCACCGATTCTGCTTCTTCCGATGGGGGAAACACCAGAATGTTGTCCAGCTTGATGTCGCAGTGCGCGTATCCCCTGGAGTGGATGCACGACAGCGCCTCCAGTATCGTTCAAGTGTAAACCCTAATTTCGCTCTCCGGAATCCCGCGACGGCCGCGGAGGCGGCCGTACCTAGCGATTAAATCGGAGAGGGAGCCGCAAGGGGCGTATTCCAACAACAAGTTGTAGATTCTGGGTCCGCCGTCCTCTTGGGTTATTTGAGCGCCGAAGCACTGTATGATTGCTGGGTTGAGGCGGAACTCGGCAAGAATCCAGTACTCCAATTTCAGAAACTTGGCGTTGTATTCCGGCGCAGATTTCACTGCCATGAGAGGCGAATTTGGTGTTTTTGGAATTCTGATGTAGACCTTGCCGTAGGTTCCTTGGCCCAGCAATTTCCCTCGACTCCAACGAATTGCCGACGACGACGGCGACGGTGGATCTTGAAAGGGATGGTTTGCTATGACGCACATGCTTGCTTGCTTTGCTTCTGGTTCGAGAGCGTGAATCGGGCAAACGGCGAGTGGGAGGAAGGAGGAAGAAGGGTTGGTGGGGTTGGGTCATGGGTTGGGTTGGTTTTAATGATGTGGCGGGTTATAATGATGTGGCGGGTAGGGTTTTATTTTTGTTGGGTTATATCCGGCTGATTAGGCAATTATGTTTGCCACATCAGCACTTAACGGACTTCATTAACGGAGTTGGACGGAGACTAACGGCGAGTGACTAAATGTGTCCAGTTTTAGTAATTGTAGTGACCAAATTTGATATTAATTTTTTCTAGTGGCTAAACGTGTCCCGATTTTGTAATCTCAGTGACCAAATGTGTCTTTAACCCAACAACTATATATAAACCTACTTATGTATTCCGGTAATGACTGGTGTACGTCAGCCATATAGTATACAACAGGTGACCTAACCGTTAGATGTATTTAGATGAGCTCAGGCCGATTTCAATGGTCAATTTTTGTTTTTCATTAAATCAAACTTCGGGTTGGGGTTTAGAAAATCGGTGTCTGAGGTTTATCCATTAGAGGTTAGAGTGTAGTATCATACCCCAAACTTGATTTAATTCATGGTCTAGATAGAGATATCTCACTAGTAGTACCTGGCGTATGGTATACTCATGACGTACGCCAGTCTGACCCATGTATTCTGTAAAGGCACCTGGATAAGATGACTATTGTTTCGGCCGTGGACTAGTCTCGTTCTCCCTAAACGAGAAAATCACGTAAATTCTGTCGATCCAATAGTATCTCCATTTTTTACTGCTATAATTTTTTTTATAAAATTAGGTAATAATATGTCGTTAAAAAAAATCCGTACTAATATGCACTTTTGAAGAATATTTTTCAATAAAAATTAAAGTTTAGATATCATATTGTAAAATATATTTACTAAACTGTTTGTTCTTGTGGTTCAATCCTTTTGAACCCCTGTTGTGTTTCGTGTTTGTTGCTTTGCTGTATTCGAACAATTGTTTTTTCTACTTTTAATATATTCACCATTATTAAAAAAAACATCTATTTGGATCCAATAGATCTTATTAGTTGGACTTTTGGTCGATAGATTGGATTAAAGTGTCACCTATAATTGAAGGTAACCTAGCTCATCTTTTATATATATATATATATATATATATATATATATATATATATATATGGTGGCTTCTATGGTACCCCGGGTGAAATCCAGGGTACCGTATACCTTGAGTATGAAAACACTATCTAGACCTCGAATTAGCAGAATTTTTGGGCTTGATACTATACCCTAACCCTTAATGAGTGAACCCTAGGTCCTAATTATCTAAATCATAAACTATAAACCCTAAGATGAAGCATTCATCTTTTTGCCTATATTTGGACGAATAATAGCCATCGATTCTTGTTTCTAATTAAATTGATCTTAGGGTATAAGATTTAGAGAACTAAGACCTAGATTTTGATCTTTAAGAGTTAGAGTATGACATCATGTCCAAAAGATCAATCAATTCAAGGTCTAGATAGCGTTTTCATACTCAAGGTATGCGGTACCCCGGATTTCACCCTGGGTACCGTAGAACTCACCATATATATGTGTGTGTGTGTGTGTGTGTGGTGGCGTATTCAGTGCACCCGCCTCATAATTGTCATTCTGAGCATGTGATTCATGTCAAAACGGTATCAATTGTTGCTTATGATATTATGAACAAGAAGCACATGAATTTGAAAAAAAAGCATTCAAAATTTACTTTAATTTGAAGGATTTATGATTTAGGGATTTAGGGTTAGGGATTAGGTTTAAAATTTGGGGTTTTGGATTGGGATTCAAAATTGAAGGTTAAGGGGTTAGTGTAATAGATTGATTTGTTATGATTCTATGTCATATCATCATATTAGATTGAGAGTACTAATTAAAGTTCAAAATTTGATGTAATATGGACACTTTTAGAGTGAGTGCACTGAGTGCACCCAAAAAAGTGAGTTCGCCGAAGTAGCCACCATATATATATAATGGTTAACCTAGCTCATCTTGTGGACAATTATGTTTCTTTTTGTGCAATTGTTTATGATGTGTGTTTAGAGCATCCCAATCAATGTTATTTGCTCAATTGAAATCATACGTGACATTTTGTATGCAATTGCAAATGGGATTGCACCAATGTAGTGTGCACTTGCAAAGATGCAAGTTTGCATTAAATGAAATTGAAAATGCAAGCCTCACTCCACTACTTTCTCTATTTCAGTTGCTCTTTTACACGTAAACATGAGATTGAGATGTTTAAGGTCCTCCATCATAGAGGGACATGCGCCCGGAAAAAAAAAAACAATGTATTTTTCTCTTAACTAATCTATTTTTGTTTATTAGAAAGTCACTTAAACCCATATATATGCAATTGCAAGTGAATTGCAATGACGTAAATATTGTTGAAGGTGGGTATTTATAACTCAGAGAGCATTAAATGTTGTGTGAGGCATGTTAACAACCTTACCTTCGATATAAAGCCTACGTAGGCATTTAATGCTTTGTTAGTGTTGAACTGTTGATGATATGTGGCAGAATAAATGTCTCATCGAGGCTTTACGCACACATAAGCATATGCTTCACACGATTTTAAGGTATTAACCCAAAATCAAATCCTATGACACAAAGAAAGAATCTTTCTAGTCACTGGAAAAGGTCATTTCCATAACCTCAAAAAAGCTCATTGGAATAACCAACAACACAAAGATACAACCCAATAATTCACACAACAAATAAATAGTTTTTCTAGTGACCGAATTGACTACCCTATCGTTATCTGAAATAGTCTTTCTAGTGGACTACCCTTATCATCTCCCGGTCTGATGCTCCCTGGCGGGGTCTGTTCCTCTGGTGATGAGTACACCTTCATTTATCAGCTACCAAAAAACAGCCCTAAATACATTGTTAAGGATAAGCCCATTAGGGATGTCAATCCAACCCGTAACCATGGGTACCCTACCCGACCGTAACCGGTCAACGAGGGTAATTACCCGTTTTGACGGGTTAAGGGGCGGGTACGGGTAATACCCGGTTTCAAAATAAAGGGTAGGGTACGGGTATGGTAATCGATAATACCCACCCGTTATACCCGCCCCGCTAATCAAAGGATCAATTTCCCTTGAGAAATTGAGTTTAGCTACCATTATTGATGATGAAGATGTAGACGATTATTATGTTTGTGTGGATTGTAGAAGAATGAACAATTATTATGTGTTTGCTATTTTTATTTGTGTGGATTGTTGAAGCTAGAATAATTACAAGTATTGAAAATTTTTAATGGACAAGAGTATGTATGTGCATATATGTGTATAACACTATAAGTTCATAGTTTAGGATTCGTACCCATGGTTACCCGAATACCCGTGGTTACCCGGTGGGTAGGGTATGGTGGGTTAATTGCACGGTTGGTCACTGAAATTACAAAAAACGTTCAAGTTTGGTCACTCAAAATATTTAAATCCATTGGTGGTCCTTCAGTTTACTCAAACCGTTCACGTTTGGTCACTCTCCGTCCAACTCCGTTAACTTTGACTGATGTGGCAGTCAACTCTCAAAGTTGACCGTTAACTTAGTGACGTGGCAACTAAAAAATTATTAAAAATTAAAAAAATAATTTTTTATATTTTCCACCTCATTATTACATTCATTAAAAAATAAATAAAAAATAAAAAACCTAATACCCTACCCGACCCCATCCTCTGCCGCGTCTTCCTATGGACAATCGTCGTCCTCCTCCTCTATTAATTCTTTCCCTTCCCTCTCTGGTCAATTTTTTTCATTAAATGCCTCTCCGCCACCTCTATTAATTCTTCTCCCTCTCTCTCTTCCGGCGCCAGAGAAAAGAAAGAAAAGAAAAAGAAATTCCAACACCTGCCCGCCGCCGTAGAAACCCCACCGCTTTGACGACGCGTTGTAACCTCGACGTCGCATTTCACCTCATGCTGTGGCTGAATCTGTCCGGAGAAATTAGGGCCTCCGGATCCCCACACCTCAGCCGGCTCTACGAGAACACCGACGACGGTCTCGGGAACATCGGACTTGTCATGGACTTGCTCCGCCTCGAAGAACCGCCGCCGCAGTGGTGGTGGTGCGCGGGGAATCGCTCCGAGAGGGGGAAGAAGCCGCCTCCGCCTCCAGATCTCCGCCTGAAGAAGGGCGATTTGATTCCCGATCTGTAGTAGTACCTGAACGACGAGAACAATCTATGCTTGGAAGAATTCGACTGGTACGATCCGAATGGGGACGGCCGCTTGCTCCACGCCGATGATCTCCTGCTCGATCTCCACGGCGACACCGTCGCCGGCTCCGTCACCAGCATCCTCTCCGAACGCTCGAATCCGAACGAGTAGGACCGCTCCAGACGGATGAAATTGTTGCTCCTCCTCCCTCGACGGCTCGATCTTTCAAATTTCAAGACGCGGCAGGGGAGGAGGATGGGGAAGGGGATGGTGCTCGGTGGAAATGGTGGTGGTGGTGGCCGTGGGGGGACGGGGCGTCGGCGGTGGACCTCCAGAGATCAGCAGCGATGGAACGCCGGCCCGGAATCGAAGTAGGCGTTGAGGTCGAAGGCGGATTGGAGCGACGAGTCGACGCATTTGGAGAAAAAAAGAAGAGGTTTTGGGGTGTGTAGAAAAGGAATTAATTTTTTATTTTTTTATTTCAATGAATGTAATAATGAAGTGGAAAATATAAAAGTTTATCTTTTTATTTTTAATAATTTTTTAATTGCCACGTCACATATTTAACGGTCAACTAGGAAAGTTGACTGCCACGTAAGTTAGAGTTAACGGAAATGGACGGAGAGTGACCAAACTTGAACCATTTAACTAATTTGAGTGACCAAGATTGGATTTAAATATTTTCAGTGACCAAACATGAACGTTTTTTGTAATTTCAGTGACCAATCATGCAATTAACCCGGGTATGGTTATATAATTTTCATACCCGGTGGTTATTTGGTCGGGTATTTTAGAAAGCTCTACCCGGCGGGTTAGGAGTTGGTATAGGGTAAACCCGCACCCGACCTTACCCATTGCCATCCCTAAAGCCCATGTAGCGAAATCATGGTTGTCACTCCGGCCGGCGTGCCACCGGTTGTACCGGGTTCAACCGGTATCGGTTATAAAACCGGCGTGACACCACCGGTATGACCGGCATGATCGATATACGAATCTCTAAGTAAAATGACCTTATTTTAGAGAATTTAATTGATAAAAATTATTTTATTATTTATTTTATGAGTATAAAAGTTAAATATTGATGTTATTTGTTGGATTCAAGTATAAATGTTTAGGTATTGACGTTAAATGTCATGTTTAAATATGAGTATTTATAATTTTATTTGTAATATTGACCGGCATGAACCGGCACAAACCGGTATGTGCCACCGGTTGAACCATTCCACTTGCTAAACCGGCACACTGGCATAAACCGGTTTGACAACCTTGAGCGAAATATATAAAGAGTCTCAAGTTTTGTCCAGTGGGGAATAGCAGTACATAGGTAACTCCACAAGCCTGTGAAGTCCAGCACTCTATGGCAATGGCATACGTGGTTAAGTTAAGGTGGTGAATAAAGAAAGACAAAAGGCGGAAAGAGAAAGCCAACACCATAGACCCCAGAAACTAAACTAAAGCCAACAGCATAATCTGGTTATGGAGTTCCAGGGGATGACATTGATCTTGACCCCAGTAGTAACTGGTGATGGTAGGGAACAGTTAGCAGCAGTTTATATGAGTGAAATGCTGCTCTCGCCACCTGGGGGTTTGCGAACGCCACCAAAGTAGTCCCTGGATTCTGCCTTTCCGTCAGCAAAGATGTTGTTGCCACTGATCTCTCTAAGTTTGGCTGTGCTTATTGTCTTCTCAGCTGATCCAGGTGGAACATCTCCCTTGAATATGTTGTTTCCTGTTAGCTCCTGAAACTTCTGGTTGTGTATCTTCTTTGTTGTCTTCACCACTGGGTCTTCACCAAATAGTATATTGCTCTGGCCACCAGCAGGCTGTTCAAATTTAAAACAAAAAGAGCTGAAAAAGTCTGGAGGACATCTCATAGCTAAGAAAATCATCTTCCCCGGCAGCTAAACATATCAAGGCAGTTAAAAAGAGTCATATGTGGCTCAAACTAAAGAAAGTTGGCCACTGAATTATCAATCAACAATTGAATGGGGAAAATGGATCCTAGATAGCAGAGTAAATCTAGAGCTACTTAAAGAAATGTGCTTACATTAGACACTTTGACAGAAGTGCGAATGGTCCGGGGAGCAGGTTCACCAATGTCCTTGTTGTTCTCCCTGGACTCCAGGGAGCGTGCAACATGCACCGATCGGGGAGCTGGCTCTTGTGGAGGTGCAAAGATATCATGTCCACTGATCTCCTTGATTTTCGCATTCGATATCTGCTTCTTGTTCTTCGAATCAGAATCGGTTTGTAAAGTTCCACTCAGCTCACGTTGCTTAGCCACTTCAGCTATAGAATTAGGCTTCTTGGGAGAGACTGTCTCTTCCGTGCCAAACGAGATTTGGCTGATCCCATTTGTGGCTTGCTGAGAGGATTGCAAAACCCATAATCAACTTACCATACAAAGAACATGTAATACAAACACATAACCAAAATAAAAACACGCATCGATCCAATACCTGAACTATACGAACTGTGGTTCTGGCATTAGGGTTAGTAGGATTTGTTTCAGATGCATCATCTGCGGTGCCTTCAGCTCCAAAAATGCGACTACCAGTCATTTCCTTGAGCTTATACCCTGAACATGGCTTCCTGCAGTTACCAAAAAGAACCCATCAGCTCATTTCCATCATTCCATGGCCACATTGATTCACCCAATTCATTATGCGAAAATCAGAAAAAGAACATTCAACAGAACTCTATACACCCAATGGTCATTTGGGGACTAGATGTTAAATCCTTCCTTTGCCGTGGAAGGGGAAACCCCCGACGAGGAAGGAACATGCAGCTGTAGATCTGAAATCTCAATTCTTTGTCCAGCTCAAATTTGAAGGGTGTTCGTATTCTAAAAAGAGCAAACCTGGGGAAGAGAAATCGATGGAGATTAATAAAGCGAGAGAATTTGAAATCTTACGCGCTGGAGAGAGACTGAGCTTCCTCGTCGGTGACCTGGCCTCCGAACACCACCTTGCTGATTTTATCCGACGGCTGAAAAGAACGCGAACCCAGATAGGAAACAAACAGGGGAATGCAAATCAGGAAGCATTCGAAATGCAGGGGCTTTGAGCCAGCTGAGATCCGTCACGGAAAGAAATGGGAAAGCTGGGAAAGTAAACCTGATGGGAGGAGCGGGTAGCGGAGCGAGGGGTCGCCGGGGAATCGGGGCGAGGAACCTCCGACCAGGTGAGGAGATCGGCGGTGGAAGCGTGTGGGTTTCTCGCAGCTGCGCGCTTGTCCATTATGAACCGCAGGGGATCTGAGTTCGATCGATTGTGTTTGTGTGTGATAGGGATAAGATAGGAAAGGAGAGAGAGAGAGAGAGAGAGAGAGAGAGAGAGTTCAGTGTGCAACGGAGGACTGAGAATGTTTCGTTCGTCTGTCGTATGTTTAATTTTGAATCAGATCTTTGAAATTGAATTCATTCATTCCCCTCCCCAGATAAGCGATGACTTTTTCGAAAACATCCGAAAATCTCAAAAACCTCTACCTTTGGCCTTTGGCTGTTTATGTGTTTTCTAAACAATATTTTTAACCCATTCAACCTCATAATTTTTTTAAAACATGTAATTCATTTTCATTTATTTTTGCCAAATCTATTTTCACGTTCTTTTTTTTACTAGCCAAATCTATTAAATTACTAATAATTAACCAAATTTTTTTGTAATATATCAAACTATTAGTCATTTTTGTGTCATCGTGACATATAGTTCAAGGATTCTGCTGAGAAGGCCAAGAAGTTCAAAAATGAAGAAATTGGGATCCCGCAACATTTTGATTAGAAATGTGTTAGGATTCTGTTGAGATATCTGAAGTTTTTTCATGATTTGATATTGTTTGCATCTTCTGCTTCTCATACAAGATCTCATAAGTTCTTGAAGGCAATTGGTGATGTATTCTACCACATTGGTAGAATGAGTGCTAGTGATGATGTTGATGTGGCTAGGATTAGGGATGCCAACAAAACCCGAACTCATTGGTACCCTACCCGACCCAAACCTGTCAACGCGGGTAAAATCCGTGTTGACGGGTTTTGGGCCGGGTTCAGGTTTAAACCCATTCACTATTCATCGGCTTGGGTTTGGGTTTACGTAAACCCGCCCCATGGGCCATGGATACCCGCCCACACCCATATAATTAATTTTCCCGGTATATTTAATATTCTAAACAACTAATCTTCTTTATGTTTGTGGAGACATGTCTATTTTTTTCTTTATAATTGTGTAGAATGAAGTTGATATTATCGAGTGGAGAGTGAAGAAGCTTAATTGACAAGGAGGAATAAGTTTTCAATTAATCATGTTGTTTATGGAAAATTTGTGATTTACTTCAATTTTTTTTAGTTTTCTAGATTGGTGTTGAACAATTTGTATGGTTAATTTGTGATTTGCTTGAATTTTATAGAATGATGTTTTATATATGGATAATTTGTATTGAGAGATTGATATTTGACATTAATTGATTAAAACTTGTTACTGTAAATTTTTTACAACAAAAACCCATGGGTACCCATCAACCCCTAATACCCAGCTGGTTGGGTTGGGTTTAAGTTTTTCAAACCCAGTGGGTTTTACCCCGGGTTTTTTTCATGGATAGACCCATGGGTTTGGGTTTGAGAAAAATCGACCCAACCCGACCCATTGCCATCTCTTGCCTAGGATGGGAAAGAAAATAAAATAAAGGAGAAGTTTGACAAGTATTGGTCTGAGAGGGAGGGAGATAACCTTAGATTGAATCGGTTGGTTTACATAGCTGTTGTGCTTGATTCGAGGTTCAAGATGAGATACCCACAACATGTTTTGAAGAAGTTGTATGGGGAGGTAAGATGGAAGAAATTGATAAAAGAATTGGATGCTGAGTATTATGAAAGAAGGGTGGGGCAACTTTCTCATCCACCACCTACACAACCCCAAAGTGATGTTGGTGAGGCTTCTAGTTCTAGTCATTTGGACCCATTATATGAAGTTTGTGAAGATAATTATTCTGGATTTGATTCGGATTTCATACCTCCTACACTTTGTCAATTCAAATCTGAGCTTGAGATGTATCTATCTCATCCTTGTGAAGGTGGAGCTGGAGGAACCCAACTTGAGTTTGATGTATTGAAGTGGTGGATGACCAATCATCTGAGGTATCCTGAAACAACCCGATCTTTTTGGAAAAATCAAACCAAAATTTAACCAACGACGATAACCAAAAATCTCAAACGAAAAGCCCTAAACAGTTGGGCAAATCTCAATCCAAACACTTGAACAGAAAACCTGAGTTTCCCAGTATACTCATAGGACAAGAAATAAAGACAAATATGATAAAAAGGGTCCCATCTCAATACCGTGATCCTTCCGACATCTTCAAGCTTGACGCGGCTGACCTCCTTGATTAATCTCCTAGTGCTGGTTATGCCCTCTTCCCCTTTCCACACCTGGTGAGGGAGAAGGGGTCAGTCTCGTCGTTACTTTCTAAGGTCTTTGCCTAAGCAAACCCTACTAACACATTATTAGAAATTACTTCCTCTTACATGAAAGTCGCTCTCGCTTTCATCCTTAATATTTTAGTCCCTGACAGCTTATAGAAGTTCTGTACTTCTATCTTAATTTATATACTTATTACTAGGGTTCACCGCGTTACGTATCGCCGTCCGGTGTCCCTATCCTCAAGGCAATGGTACTGCGTTACGTATCGCCGTCCAGTCCATGCCCGGTCAACTACTGCGTTACGTATCGCCGTCCAGTAGTGACCCGACCATCTACCGCGTCCAGTAGTGGCCCAACCGCCCGGGGGTTCATCTTACATACATACATCACATACATAGCACAACGCGTGCTTCCACCTTAAGTAGGCAAAATGACAAAATAACTGAATCAAAAGACAAACTATAAGACCTCGACGGAGATTTTACCCCTTTACACTCACTTCTCAAGTGCCGATACTTTACTTCCTTTGACGTGTGGTCCCTTAATTTGATCGCCTCCTTGAACCTATAATTCGAGATTAAATTTCCCTTAGTCGCTATTCCGCAAAATTTTCCGTTCTCCTCGCTTAGTCCCATAATTCTTTAAATACGCATTAACTCATCCTAACTAATTAAATAATCCTTTGCATAAATCTCATAAAAATTATCATGAACTTTCCAAAAAATCTCTTACCCCTCAAACTACTAATTCTGACTTCTAATAACTTAAAATATTAACCAAAATCATTAACTATAATTTATACCTTAATTACCCCTCCTTCTGATTTAATAAATAATTTTTAAACCTATGATACAAATGTCTAAATTTCTGGTTCTTTCACTCCCCTGCACAAATTACATATTCTAGTCTTGCACAAAATTAACAAAGCCATAAAATATATACATACAGTAATTAAATTAATTAAAACGAATATCACATAAATTTTTGTAATTATAAAATCAACTCGAAAAATCACCCAACAATTCCTGGACAAACATAAAAGTATATGTCTTCGAATAAAATTATCAAAACTGGGAAAACCTTTCGAATACTATTTTATTTAACTAAATCCGTCTTCCTAAAAAATTTTATAATTTGAAAATTATCTTCAAAAATTCTCGAATTAATATCCCAGACTCCCATGAGTTTTATCTTATTTATAAAATTATCATCTTTTGAAAATACCCACTATACGCAACAAAATTAATAATAAAAATTGTGAGAAAACACGGTTCCCGACCAATTGTAAATGTTTAAAACACAGGGGATTAAGCTGCTCGTACTAAAAATATGGGGGACTAACAATGACATTTTCCACTGACTGAAATGAAATTACTCTCTGGGTACCTGAACTATCCGATTTGCATCCCAAACTTTCGAGGTCGGTTACGCCGGTGCCGCCGTCCGAACTACGATCGCCACGTGCATTGTCGTGTTAGTCGGGGATTGAAAATGATCTTAATCTTATGGACAGACGGAAGCTGAGAACCTTACCCCTATCGTGTGAAAATGGGCGTTTAGTCAGGTCCTTGCACGAGGGGAAATGACCTACTACGTGCTGAGTTGCTCGTCCGGTGGTTGTTACTTCCGCTGCGGTGGTTGGCTTTTTTTAGATTAGGGATGTCGGGCTTCGGTCCGGGGAAGAGGCTTGCACTTGACGTTGATTTCGGTCGGGGAAATGAGGAGGTAGGTGGTGGTGACGAGGAGTGGACTATTGCTGCTCCTCTCGGTTACGTAGGCAATAAAAATGAAAGGAAGGTAACGAAAGGGAACTAGAGAGACCGAATGAGAGGGGTTTAATGGGAGGTGGGTTTTTGGGTTTTTATTTATTTATTTATTTTTCTTCTTCCTTTTTGTTTGGTAACGTGTGGATGATGGGGATGACGATGATAATAAAGGGGACTAATAAGAATGGTGACGTTCAGATGATAATGATAATGATAATGATGGTGATAATAACAATAATATTATCATTATTATTATTATAATTATTATTATTATTAATTCACGGTTGTACCCATTCGTACGTAATTGTTGATTCAATGGTTCATTTCTTATGGTCGAACCAGAATCGTAATATCGGGGTGTTACATATCCTATCTTGGCTGAGATGGCTAAGGATGTATTTGCTGTCCCGATGCCTACAGTGCCTTCTGAGTCGGCTTTTAGTACTGGTGGGAGAATTTTAGATGACTTTAGGAGTTCATTACATCCTAAGATTGTTGAAGCACTAATCTGTAGTGAGGATTGGCTTAGATCTGGTTCCCTCAAACCTTTGGATGATGAGGAGGATGATTATGAGGATGATGAAGCTTTAGTCAATGGTAATGTTTATTAATATATTTTTTCGTTGCTCAATTGTCTAATATCAATTTTGAGTTTTGGATTTGCTAACTATTTATGTTGGGCATGTGACTCGGACCTAGCCGCGCAAGACCTAGCCGCGCACGAAGGCCTGAGACGCGGCACAACGTGTGAGATATTAGAGGATGTGCGCGGATGGAAAAAGCCAACGCGCGAAGACCCTGAACCCCTCACAAGCTGCGCACGGGTGAGAAGCATCAAGGCGCGGAGAGCCGGGCGCGTCACAAGCCACGCGCGTACTGAGAGTGCCAAGCGAGTACTAAGCCACAGGGCTACGAGGAGTCTCGCCCACACTCCCCGAGGGCCGGCCACGTTGGGATCCGAGAGATGGTCGTAGGTACACCTCTGACACGTCCTAGGTAGAGGAATGACCTAAATCCCTGACGTGTCAGTGGTCGTGTCAAAGTCATGTCAAGGTCAAAATACCATCATGTAATCCACCCACTCACCCACCACCATGTAGCCTATAAATATGGCATTTACTCCGGTGGGTGAGGGGGATCGCATTTTTGCACTCTATCTCTAAGAACATCAACTTCTCTCTCTAAAAGACCGATTCTCTCAACCTCCCGGTTCTTTGTTCTACGCCATATCGTGGATTCTCTGTTGTTTACTCTCCTTGACCCACTTTCTT